GGGGGGGGGGGGGGGGGGGGGGAGGTCAGCATATGCTGAAGAGATATTTATTATTTAATTTATATGCTGCCTGACTCCCGGCAACTCTGGGCAGTTTACAAATGATTTAAAACATGAAAAACAAGACAAAAACAAGAAACAACACTGATAGAAACAAAACAACCTAGGTTAAAAGGATGTTTCAGTCATCCTCACCAAAGGCCTAGGCAAAGAGCCACATCTGCCTTTGAAATACTGGTAGGGTGGGGGTCATTCAGATCTTGGGGGAATCCTCATTCCAGAGGGCAGGCACTGCGACAGAAGGCGTGCTTCAGGGGTCCCAGTAGACAGCATTGTTTCACTGAGGGAACCCGCAGGGCACCAACCCTGCCATATCAAATCGGCCAGGCAAAACAGATGGTCCTTCAAATAACCAGGCCGTATGCAATGTAGGGCTTTATAGGTAACAACCAGCACCTTGAATCACACCCGGAAGCAAACTGGCAAGCAATGCAACTTGCGAAGCAGAGGTGTTACATGGGCATACTGAGGCAGGCCCATCACTGCCTGCGCCTCTGCATTCTGAACCAGTTGAAGCTTCTCGGTGGTCTTCAAGGTCAGCCCCATGTAGAGCACATTGCAGTAGTCAAACTGTGAGGTGACCAGGCTATGAGGGCCCCCGATCTAGGAAAGGAGGCAACTGGTGTATCAGATGAAGCTGTGCAAAGGCCTTCCTGGCCGCCGCAGCCACCTGCTCATTGAGCAGGAGCTGTGAGTTCAAGAAGACCCCCAGGTTGTTAATAAAATAAGAAAGTGCATGACACACTCAAGAACACAAAATGTGGAATGGGGATGGGAGAGAGAAGCGGCTGGGGAAACTTTGTGGGGGAAATTGGCTTCAGGCAGAGAAAGGAAGGAAGATCCAAACCATAAAGACAATCTGAAAATGGTTTCGTTTCCTTAACTGTTGGTAGACCACACTGGCTCTTAATCACTTTGCAGACTTGTAAGTCTGGATCCAACCTTTTAAATCTTTGATTACTCCATGTAGATGCTACCCTAGTCTCATTAATACAGTAGTTAAAATAGTGGTAGAGGTAACATTTCATGAAGTACAGACTTGAATTTTGCATGATTGCATAGCAACATGTTATTTACATTAGTCTTCTACAGTACTTAGGTTTTCCGCTGGTTTCATATTTACCTTTAAATCTTGTATCTTCTAAATGTGTGACCACATCAGGTGGTGTATGTGTATTCTTTGAGCTAACATTCATTTCAACCATTTACAAGCTTATAGATAGCTCCAACTTTTTGAGGCAGAGAAATTGTTCTTAGCAACTTTTAGCATACTGTATACTTAGTGAGACTTACAAACTTTCAGTGGAAGTAGCCAGGAGTACATTCAGTGTTATCTGCGAATAGGGTGGGGTTTTGTTTTGTTTTGTTTTGTTTTGTTTTGGGGAAGAATTGGAAAACAGGAAATCTCTGGAAAAATATGAATTATATCTAGGTAGAGATTATCAGTAGAGTAAAAAGTGGACCAGGGTTATGCCTCTCTGTAGATCAATTACAAATAAAACTAACCAGTAGTGCCAAAAGTCCAGTTTTGATTATGTTGTATCAAAGTAATGGGCAGAATCCAAACAATTACAAAAATAGTTTTGTCATCATCAGCAAACTTGAGGCTTTCTTCTTTAACAGTAATCCTTTATTCCATCTTTTTCTTCTTGCCTCATCTGCATTAAAAAAAAAAGGGCAAGTCTCAATATTGCTTGGAAGAAAAAGAAATCCACCAAGGTTTTGCAAGTTTTTTGTATGAGTCAGGAAGAATCATTTGTGAGAAAGTGGGTGGGGTGAGAGGTAGGATTATCCTGCTGAGAAGAGGTGTTTTTTTCCCTCCCCTTCTGATAGTTCTTGATATTACAAAAGCTGTTTTGGAGAGTCTTCATACGGAAAGGAAGTATTTTGGCTCCAGTAGATCCAAGGGTGCTTCTACTTTGTTCCTGATCTATCATCTCTTCTGGCCTACTATTAGCAAGAACGTCAACACTAGAACTGTTTGCTTATAATCTTCCATGGATGTTCTTTTTTAATCTACCTGTCAAGGTCTTCTAGGCCAGCACAGAGGTATTTCCATCCTATCAATTTTTTAAAATCTCTCCTGAAGAAAGGAAGCAAACATTCCATATCTATTAACTGCAATAAAATATAGCCACCTCTGATCACTGAAGTATGATTGTGTGTAGTGGAACTTCTTTTTATAAAAGGGCCTAAGAATTACAATCAGTACAGTATATTCTCCAAAGCTTCTAAGTTAACACATTTCTTCTTGGGTGGGTGAAACTGAAAATCCATAGAATCAGCTGTTCTACTTCCTTTTTAAGTATGTCTACTTGTCTTTTTTTCTCACTATTTCTCTTAATACACTGTATACAGTTTGATATTCTTTGGCAATTTTTAAATAGATTTTTTCTGGTTAATTTTGAGAAAGCAGTGTCAGAACAGCTGAGTACTGTTCAACTACTCTAACATGGGGCAGTATAATCTAACTCTGAGGTTCAAGGGTTTTGAGAATAACTTTCTAGGCTCTATGGCAAATCATTTCTGAAACCAAGACATTTTTAAAATCAGTATGTTGAGATCACTGTGGCTGTCTGTTCATGGAAAACAGTGTAAAATAAAATCTGCCTTTTGCATACCGAAGTTCTGGGTGTTTAAAATACCTCAGTTAAAATGGAGTTAACAAGTATATTTTGGTTACGTTGTTTTGAATGCTAAAACTGATTCTGTGTTCTGATGTTACTCAAAAATAAGTGAAATTTTTTTAGCTTGCAAATACATTGATGCAATATAGAAGAAATGCTTACTCCCACAGAATGGGCTTTTAAAACTATAGAAAAATAACCTGTAGAAGTGGGCATTTGCTATCAAATTTCCTGGTATCTCAATTCAGCCAGCCATCCAGTCCTGGGAAAGGGAGCACCATTTTGTAGCTCACATCTCCTTGCACCAGATTGGCAAGGTTTATATCAGTCTATTATCAGCACATCAATATATCTGACCTGCCGCATCATATACAGGTTTGGCCATTTGAACAGTTTGTTACGCCTTTTCCATGATAATCTCAAACTCTGCATAAATTAAACATACCATTAAAGCAATTTAATAATTACTTAATAGGTATTTATTATACATTTTGCCTACTCAGTAACTAAAAAGTGTCCCACACAACACAAAATAAGACCCAGTGCACTAGTAACACAGGAAATAGGAAAACAGTTTGGAATATATATAAACTGTCATTGCAATGCTTGGTATTTAAATTTCTCCATAAAACGTAAATGTGCATGCATAAAATGCCTGGGGGAAGGAAAATGGCACAGATAACTGGGGGTACCAGGCACTCTCTTTGAGGAGATATTCTGTAAAGGGGGGTACTCTAGCCGAGAAGGCCTCTTTCTTCATGACCTTTCTAATTTCACATAGAACCGAATTTCAGTTACAAATCCTAGAGAAAATTTAAAATAGATTTAACAGATATAAATATTTTAGAGTGAATTTTTAAATTGGATAAGGTTTAAAAGACCATGAAATAACTTAATCTGTGAAGGCCTGAATCAGAAGTGGTGTTATTCCATAATGATTTATCCCTATTGAACCTCTATATATAGATTGAACAGCTTGTGCCTTACAGAAAATCATTTTTGGTAGAATTTCTGTTATAGGAAATGCAAGTATTTAATGAATATTAATAAGAGACTTTTAAACAATGGCAATTTGCTGTTGTTTTAGACTAGGATGGCTTTTTAGTTTTGATCAGAGAATGAAAATCAGAGATAGCTGCGTAGCCAAAGGCCAGATCTCTTTGACAGACTCCACTAAGTGCTTCTGAATATTTTCCTATCTTTTGAAGTAGCTGAAATCTTGGAAACTGTAACACACTTTTGAACCTGTCAAATTTATTTAAAAAATCACAAATTCTGCTAGCTCCTGAAGTAAATGGTATAATTGAAGAAAGAAAGTTAGCTAGGTAGTAGCAGAAGCCAAATCCATGAAAGAATTAAAGGTAATAGTTGGGTCTGGGAAATCTTCAAGATTTAAAGCATAGATAAAAGTTTTAGGAAGTCTGTGCATCTAATTCTTAATCTAGCTAGTACTTAAAATTCTAGTACAGTGTGCCTCTTCCTTAGGCATGCACATAAACTCTTGAAAAGTACGACTAGAACCTTTCTCAGTATCTTAACTGTCAGGGTTAGAGTTTAATTAACTTTGCTTGATTTGCTTTTTGACTTTAGAATTTAGTTTGTTTGACATACTTTTGGGGAGGTGTATATGCAGACAATTTGAGCTAGCTAAGTTTGAGCCATGAATGTGATTTACCAGTAGATAGATTATAAGGGAAAAGCTAAAATTTGCATGCATGATACTGTATGTTAATGATTGTGAAATGTTTCTCTAAGGATCTACTTCTGTTTTTCTCATTAGGAAGAAAGTTCTGGCACTGTTGCATCAGTATCTACACTCAGTCTATTAAACACTGGGGTATGAAATTTAATATTTTTCTTTCACATTCTATGCCATTTAGGATCTTCTTAGCATTCATTGAAATACAAGGTACATTACATAATTGTAGTATGAGTGAACAGTACTAACACATCAAGTCATTAAATACCATTAATGAAAGGAAAATTATATTAATTGCCTTTGTTTAATGTTAAATATTGATATTGACTGCTTTGTTTCTCCTAACTTTACATCATTTTACTGTTTAGTTGAAATATGCTTCAGTGTATAAAATTCATTTGTATTCACTTGATTCTAATGCATAAGGCATTGGACAACCTAATCTGCTTAAAGGTGTAAATGTATAAACATTTTAGTAGCTTTGGTATCTCATTGCTTTATGAAATTTGATACTTTTAATAGAGTGTCAAATCTCCAGCAATACATTTAAGTGAGTTGGTAAAAGAAAAACATTTAAGACTTGAACTCTCTTGAACTCTTGTACTCTTGTAATACGAAGAAAATTGCTAAAAGAAGAGTTGTTTTTCTGGTCATCTGGGTTCATGCAAAATATTACTTCTGCGTGGTGCAGAATTGTTTACTCCTTTCAGGTCAACTGTTCTATTCCTTAAAGTGCAGAGGAAAGTGATTTATTTATTGAAAACATTATTATTTATTATCATAAATAACTAATTATAAAATACATCTTTTAATTACAAAGAATGAGTGATAATTAATAAAGTGATAAGCAGATCACAATTTGGGATGTGATGATGAATAGGATTGTGAACAGCTAGACTCAACTTTTTATTTAGAAACCTGATCCTGCCCTCTTCAGTGGCAGTTACAGCTCTTGGTGTGACTATTTTGTTAAGCAGCATATTAAGCAAAATTGTACTTGTTTATTTAATGTATTAAATTTTACTAATTTTAATAATCTCTTAAAGTTTTACTAATGTCTTAAACCACACTGCCAGTGTAGCCATTTGAGAAGCCTGTTTTGAATGCTCAGTGAATTCACCATTTAAACCTTCTCAGCTGCTATTTAATATCTTTTGCCCACATTCCTATTTCTAACTGTTTAATTGTTGTCAGTGGCTTTAATAGAAAGTAATATGGTGTAAGAGTTACTGGCATCTAATCTCTCATTGTATTTGACAAAGATATTGTATATCAAACTATTCCATTTAAGACACATCACAATTATTGTTTTGTTAGGAACAGAATTAGAAATAAGTTGGGTTGATTTTAAAATATGCTTACAAATGCAAGAGAGCTCAAGTTTGCCGCAATAAATAATCTTTCCCTTTCCTAACTCTCTGCTTTGCCTATGTTGAGCTTGTTTTTCCATCCTGCATGTACAGGGCATTCAGAAAGTATTCAGACCCCCTTCACTTTTTTCAATTTTGTTATGTTGCAGCCTGAT